CGTAAGTCGAGGACTACTCAACTGGTGCAGCACCGTTTGCAGAATGGGACTTTTGGCAGGCTCAGCAGGGCAGAGACAGCCTGGACAATTCCTATTGGCTTTTGAAAACCAATAGAATAAAAGGGAGTAGCACAGCTAAGGAAAAGGGGGGAAAAAATGGCAGACTGCGTTGTTTGGCGACCCCCGTGAAATGGTCATTTGACCCCAAATGGGGTCCTGACCCACAGGTTGAGAACCACTGTGTTAAAGGATGGCATTATCAGTGTTTCCGCTGATGTAGGAATTTGCCCAGCTTGGTAGATCTTGTATATATATTGCCCTAGAATTCCTAGCATCTCCAGTCAGCACTGAAGAGAGAGCACCAGAATAGAAGACCGACAAAGAAATCTGACATTTGTTTCTTACCTCCTTTTAGTTTACCGGGTTTCCAGAAACTTTTATTTGGGGAAAAGTTGGAAAGTTGGTATTACAACATTATAAAATCACAAAATATATTTCTCAGAGAATGTTTCTTAGGAGGAAAACATAAATAAGCAAGAACCTAAGGCTCCAAATATTGATATTTCTACATGGGTATGTATGTTGGCTTCTATATCTTAAAGGTAAGAGCCAGTTTAATGTTATGGTTAAGGCATCTGGATGGAAAGGGGAATATTGTGAGTTCTACTTCGGTCCTAGGCACAAAGCCAGCTGAGTGCTTTGGGTCAATCATTTACTCTCAGTCCTAGGAAGGAGGCAATGGCAAACCACTTCTGAAAAACCTTGCCAAGAAAACTGCAAGGACCTGTCAAGCAATATCTAAGAATTGGACACAATTCAATGGAAGGGGAAAAAAAAATATTCTATGCCCTCAAGTTGAGCTCAGCTCCAGGTAACTGCTCCCATTCCAGGTTTATCAGTGTTAACAGATTTATTAATTCTCTGTAACCTACTTAGTATTCACAATGTTCTTATCTAGGCGGAGTCAAAATATTTTTATCATATAGATTCCCATAGAAGAAAAAAAACTTATATTTACATTGTTTCCATTCATTATTTCAATGGCACCTTTTCAATGGCCTAGTTCAAATACCCTGAGAGGCACAGAGGTTAAAGTGCAGTAATGCAGGGAAACTCTGTCCACAGCCTGGAGTTCAATTCAGACGGGGCTCAAGGTTGACTCAGCCTTCCATCTTTCCAAGGTCAGCAAAATGACCCTGATTGTTGGGGGCAACATGCTGATGTTGTAAACTGTCCAGAGAGTGCTGTAAAGTGCTATAGGGTGGTATGTAAGCCTAAATGTATTGCTATTGCTAATACCGCACTAAAAGACAATGTGGATCATTTGATTTGCTCAATGTGAAATACATTACCCAACCATTGTTATTAATAAACAGTGTTTAGGGCTCAATGCATTGTGCAAAACCAACCAATTCTTATGGCATTAACCAACTTTACAGTTAGAAGGGCAGCCAATAAACAAAATATAAATAAATAAAATTCTGGCTATTACAATATCTACCCCGCAGTCGGAATTCAGGGCTGGTATAGAACCAAACCACACTAATCACGTTTTTATAGATGATTTCTGGGATTTATTTATTTAACTTTATAGGCTGCACATTTCACTATCCAGGTATAACTAGGATAGGGGAAGCAACCTCCTCTTAATTCTGCTTGATATCTCAATGGCTTTTGATACTATGGAATCCTGAAATGCTGCAAGGATTGGAAGAGCAGACACTGTTCAACAGTAGCTCTCTTCCTTCTTAAGTGGGCAGTCAGTGGAAGCATGGTGAGAGGTTGAGCCTAGGATCCTCTGCATTTGTGGTGCTGCTGCAGAAGTTGAGGTTTTCCCTATCTATGTAAATAACCATAGCAATAACACTTAGACATACATACCACTTCACACAGTGCTTTACAGCCCTATCTAAGCAGTTTAAAAAGTCAGCCCCCAACAATCTGGGTCCTCATTTTACTGACCTCGGAAGGATGGGAGGCTGAGTCAACCTTGAGCCAGTCAGGATCAAACTTCAGGCAGTTGGCAGAATTAGTCTGCAATACTGCATTCCAACCACTGTACCACCACAGCCCCAGTAAAGCCACTGGGGAAGGGATCTACTGACTCAGGGAAAGGCATATTCATTTATTTTACATAAATGTAAATAATGCTCAGCTGTCTATCTCACAAAGCCAAAGAGGAGATGTGGTTAAGATTCTGCCTTTATGCCTCAAGGCTGTGATGGTATAAATGGAGAGAACCTGGCTTAGAGGTAATCCCAGCAAGATGGTTTTGAATGCAGATGTCTTCTTATTCTAGATAGATTCTTTCTATGGCTCTGGGTGGGATTATGCTCCTTTGCATAGATTTTTTTAAAAAGATTGATTCTATGCCATTAAGTCAACATCCAGTCCTACAGTCTCCCCATATAGATTTTTCTTCAAGACTTCTACATAGAGATGGCTCTTAATCTGCTAGAACTTAATTCTGCATGGAAATAGGAAGTAATTGTGTCTTGGAGAGTGTTTGTTGAGTTTCATCTTGTGTCCCAGTTATCATGTTTCCTGGGGTCAGGAGGCTTTGCTGACAGCTGATTATATGCTTTTGCCACCTTTTGCTCACTGCACTGGGGCTCTGCCTAAAGATCTCCTGGAAACTGCAAGTGATTCAGAAAACAATACCTCAAGTAGTTAGTTATGTAACACTCTGCTTTGAGAACTTTCTTGTCTACTGGTTTGTTTGTTTCCAGGTGCAATTCAAGGTACAGATTATCACCTTTAGATCCATCCAAATTCAAGACCCGATTACCTTCCTTATTGGTATATGCTCATCATTTAAAATCCAGAAGAGGAGGTTTCTTCAGAATCCCTACTCTTAAGGATCGTCACTTGCAGGGATCTAGATCAAACCTTCTAAAACTCTGTTCTCTTTCTCTTGAAAAAGTTATCAGATACCACCTGACTGTTAGTTTTTCATAAAGCCATCATATTTTTCACAATGCCATTGTTTTAGCAAGTCTGTGGATCCTGAAGGATTAGTCTTGTCTCTGCATATACTTTATTGTGTATATGGTTTATGGTTATTTTTTATCCCTGGGAAATGTAACTGTTACATTATGTTCTTGTTTTTAATCTTATTACTGCTTTGGTGGTCTTAAACCTCTCAGAGTCATATATTAATTGGCTGCCATATGAGCTTGGTAAAACTAATTGACTACATGCAAACTATAGTGAAGCAAACTATAGTTCATAGCACAATAAGGCAATTTTCCCCAGTATCATAAAGAGGAAGATTGCCTTATTGGAAGTATGTTACATGTCAATTTCCATAATTCCTAGACAGTATTAACCTGAATCCTCGTAATAATATAATGCAAAAAGGATCAAAGATACTGAAATGTTATTATTATTCATACCTTATTTGTTTTTAGCAAAAGGCAATCACTACATATTGTAGATATTCAAGCTATAGAAGATAAAGTAAAATGACCCTATCTGTGACTCAGTTTAATTACAATAAAATCCAGACCTCTTTACTTGCTACATTTTTTACTGACTAAGATAAAACAATATCTGAGTAGCTAAACAACAAATTGTAAATAATGCCAGACTTTGTTAGTATAAAGTGGAAGCATCAGCTACTTTTATTATTTGTTTTTAGCTGCTTATAATCTAATGGAACCTAGTTTTATAGAGTGCTACAAGCAGAGCAAAACAAGAACTGTAGCTTAAGCAGGTCAATGTGCAGGGGCTGTACTCCATTAGAATCAAAAGATGACAAATAGTTTCTCAGCTATATCCAATTTCTGGATCTTTCAGGAGATGCATCTAGGTATTCAGAGGCTGTCTCTGGATTTGTGTTCAAAGTTACTGATGTAGCTCTGTATATATAGAGGTAAAATGGAATATAAGAATAATAGGGAAGCATCTCTTTGTAGCTCCCAATTAATTCCTGTGCTCTGGTCTATATTGTTACCAAAACTTAAAGAGAATGCCAGGAATGTGGTGTGCTCTTTTTCTTTGGAAGCAGTTCTGTACTTTTCTTCTTTCACAAAAGGAGAAGCAACTCTGTCTGCGATCTTTCCAGAGCTAATTCATGCATAATTAAGATAGTTTGGGTACCCGAAGAGGCTATGGAGGGATCTTTACTTCTGTAGGGCAAAGTATTTGTAGCAATATTCCATGTCAAACTTTTGCTAGGCTCTCTTTGGAATTAATTCATAAAAGATTCCCTTCCCCAGCCATGAAAGACATTTGCTTACCTGGTGACAAGGGACTCACAGAAAGGCTCCTGTGTATGAATTGTCTGCTTCAGTTCAGCATTTAATAGCACATCTGACCCAACCAATCTGCTGATCTAGAAAGAGTTGACTGAATAGCCTGACTCATATATGGAGACAGAGAGAGAGGGAGAGGGAGAGGGAGAGGGAGGAGGGAGGAGGAGGAGGAGGAGGAGGAGGAGGAGGAGAAGAAGAAGAAGAAGAAGAAGAAGAAGAAGAAGAAGAAGAAGAAGAAGAAGAAGAAGAAGAAGAAGAAGAAGAAGAAGAAGAAGAAGAAGAAGAAGAAGACAACAGCAGCAGCAGCAAGGAAGAAGACTCTTTCTACATATCTTTATTCTGGATTCTCTCAGAACATATGCTAAGGCGTTGCTTTATAACTACTAGGCAGATTTCTTCTATGTGGACAATTGAAAAAGGAACAGTGAGGCAAGCCTACTAGGGTTTGCAACATTTATGCCTAATGAATAACTTAATACTGAAATGATAGCTGGGATTGGCCCTTAGTTCTGTGGAGAGTCTTCCACTATCTGTAGACTGAAGAAGAAAAATAAATTATGGCTTACTGAGTTGCAGGGGAAAAACAAAACAAAACTATTGGCTTTCTTCCCCCGTTTTCCGAGTAATCATGTGTCCAAGCAAGCCACATCAAATAATGTTATCATTGCTCAAGCCTCTTCGGTTTAAAGTGTCATTAGTCACTACAGCCAACAAAAGACATCAAACAGATGGGCAGTGACCTACCACAACAAATGAATCATTCTGATCTCTTCTTCAGACACATGCTCTTGCTTCTGTACCTGAGAGCATTCAAAAGACACAGTTTGGGCAGGTAGGAATCGCTTTGGATTTCAGCAAAAGGCAACGCAGAAGATTCTATACAAAGTAAGTGACCATGTGAATATTTATTAGATGCTATACTTACATCAAGGAAATCCAGATTCAGGACCTTTGCTGTTAGCTAAATAGTTGCACTTAGGCCTACGGTATATCTCAGCTACATTAAGTTGCTACAAGAATAAAAGGATATGCTAATATTGTTTGGAAAAAATTCTTTGGTCCAAAATGCTTTGGACAACTTTCAACAAATTTCCATGCCAAAGTTTTTTGGGACAAAGGACAGATATTGCTTCATTAATGGCATAAGAGAAAAGAAGAGGAAAGGTAACATCCATTAGAATCCAAGCTAATTTTCTGTGATGGGATTCTTTTGACCCCCAATAGGTCCTATGTTTCACTCAAAATTGCTCAGGAGGTCTTCCAGCTTTCAACAGAGCTTTTCAAGGCATACAGCAAGAAAACCCAGTGATTCTTTATACATTTTCTCCCTGGCACTGAGCACCCTTAGCTGTAACACTGAAGAAATAAAGGCCAAGGAAATATCTGCAAGGAAAGAAATGGGTTTCTGAATTCTTCCTCCGGAGTCGTGGCATTCTAAGTAACCTCAAAGAAGAAAATCTAATGAATCATTCAGCCCCTGGGACTTCTGGTCAAGAATTGTTGCATTGCAATTTGTGATATGTGACATGGAATCTGGCTCAATGTCCAAAGAAGTTAATCTTTATATGTTTTTCGATTCTTTCTTATTAAACTTCTAGATGACTCTAGGTTGCTATCTGGTGGTTAAACATTTTCTGGGAATACTACGTTATGGTTATTTTATCTCATTGTCAATTTTGTGATAATTGCTAAGGAAAGTGATACTGTTTTGACAGTATTTTGATTTGGAAGGGCTGGGCTTTGAAATATTTTGAAACAGAAAGCGTGATAGAAATCTAAAACAGTTGACTCCCTGTTGACACTCTGCTGTAGTTAATTAAGCCAGATGTTCCCATCACTTTCCTTTGTCTTGTCATCTCCTTCTTGTTTTGTTTTTACATATACCTAAATGTCAGACCACAAAAGCAATACAACTCAGGTTTGTTTAGTGTTTTCTGCAGGTGTGGCTTCCGTAGCACAAAAATCCTGCCCTGAATCACCTCCTACAAAAGCAATTAGCCATTTCCTCCTGCTCCATATTGCAGGAAAATAAGCCCATACAAAAACAACAATCACCTCTGGGCCAAGGCAGGGCATTTAATAGGTTTATTTCACCATGCCATTTTTAGACACCATTCTGTCCCTTTTCCTCTACTTCACTTTTTAGGCCTGCCTGAAAATATAAATAATGGCCAGTTATTTGTGGTCAGCAAATCAGCCACTCAGAATTTATCCTGCACACTGAGACCAGAGCTTGAAACAGGATATATTTCATCTCCAGGTGTTGGTTGCTGTGCTAATCCAGTCAAAAACAACTAATGTGGAGCCCAATGAAAAGAATCACATTTTCCTCTCATCTCCATTTTCAAAAGATAAGATCTGGGATTAGATCTAGTCTTAGATTGTGTTTTTCCCGCACTAAGGACCTCAGACATGTAGAATGGCTGTTATTTGAGCCCAGAGTTTCAAGGCAGCCTGACCTAACTATAGCACTGTTATCATGAGGAAGAGAGGCTAAATCATGTTTGCAGACATCATTCTGCAGATCTGGGGAGATGGAAACAATTAACCATGTATTGTTATAATTGTTATTTCTACAGGGTATTCAAAATCATCCTATCTTATCCCTGCTGTGTCACTATCCAGGAAGAACAGACAATTATCACACGAACTTCCGCTCTGGTAACAGCTGATATAAGGCTGCACACTGTTCTTCTTCCTTTTTAATTCTACCTTGATGGACTTGGCTGTTCACTGGGCAAAATAAAATTAAGTTGATTGGAAGACAGGGCAGTACTGAACCGGTGGAGAAGATACTCCTGATATTCCTTTTCAACTACTTTTACACATTGTAAAATTGGTTGCAGATAACCCAATGTCTAAAACATTCTCTTACTTTAATACATAAAAAACCATCAAAGTGTAACATGAGGGTACACATTCCAGACAAAGGCTGGATTCAAGCAACACAATAAACATCAATACAAAAGAAACAGTGCATATGATGACTTAGTGTAATATGCGAACCCAGTCAATGAGTTGTCCCAAACCATTCTCTAACAAGTGGAACGTGCAGCTCAAGCTATGACTTTTAGACACAAAGCAGTTGTACTTTTTTGGTGACATGTACAAAACAGCCCCAAATTTCTTTTGCCAAGGAACGTGGAAAGCTCTCTGAGGATACAAGAAGCACAGGGTATGGTCAGGGATGGAGGGAATGGGGATCTGCAAGCCCAATGTATCTGCAATTTTTATTATTTTAAATGCTGAAAATGATTTCAGAATTAAGAATGGCAAGTGACGGTGAAGAACTGCTAAGGCATTGCAGAATTCCAATCTATGGCTGTCAAATGATGATGATGATGATGATAGTAATAATAATAATAATAGCACTATTAGAAGGATTAATTCAGAATTTTGCAATAAATACAGTGAGAAAAAGGTACATATGCAGTGTTTGTTATAGTACTGATAATTTTCACTTGTTTCATTTCACTCACCAGTCCTTTCATCTTTATTTCACAGTGGATACTTCTTCTTTGTAATCTATAATGGGATAGGAATAAATATATCTCCTGAAATAATTTTCTTATAAGAAGGTAGTTCCTTTGCAGAACACAATTGCAACAGATAGGAAATGGAATTCTGTGGCTTGTTGATAGAGTATGGGGCAGTGACTTTCTCTCAGCACAAAATACTCATAGAAATGCTTAGGAGAGTACAAATGGAAGAGGAGATGCAGTACACATGATTTTCCAGAGGAAACGATGGGATATAATCCAAAAATATAAATAAAAATGATTGTATGGACTATGAATTACTTTTCTGGTACTATACTGAGATCAATACTAGAGCACAAAAGCTTATACTCAGGCTAATATTTAGTCATGTTATGCTTAATATTTTGGCTGAAAAAATATCAATAGACATATGATATCAATTGAAAAATTCCATTTTAACTTTTTAAAATTTAATTTTATTATTTTCCTGAAGTACAATATTTTTCTCTACTCTGGGCACATTCCATGAATGCCAAACTGTCTGTTCCTCTTTTCCCAAGCTAATTCCTTGTTAAATGTCTATGGCAGGGGTAGGCAATCTTGGCTCTTTTACGACTCGTGGACTTCAACTCCCAGAATTCCTCAGCCAGCCATGCTGGCTCAGGAATTCTGGGAGTTGAAATCCACGAGTCATAAAAGAGTCAAGGTTGCCTACCCCTGGCCTATGGAGCTTCTCAGTCATCCAGGTCAATGGTTGTTCCAAAGGTGCTTTTTCAAGAGGCAAATTAACTTTCTTGTTTTTCTTTGAAGACATTTTGCTTCTCATCCAAGATGTTTCTTCAGCTCCCCACCATCCAGTCAGACCTGAAGAAGCTTCTTGGCTGAGAAGTAAAACGTCTTCAAAGAAAAACAGAAAGTCCAGTTGCCTCTTGAAAAAGCATCTTTGCGTTAATTCCTTTTCTTTTTTTTTTTTAAATAATGAAAATACAGTATGGGAAGGAAGGTTCAGGAAAAGATTTCTATTTGGCAAATTAACCGGGGAAAATCTGTATTTATGAATGAGAATGGCAATTATATTTACAAAAAATTGGCTCGGCGTTGAATTTTTACAAACTAGTTGTTTACATGAAGATTGCGTTTTCTCAATTTCTTAGAGTAGGTTGTGGAAGCTGCAGTGACACCCCCCCCCCATTCTCTTGACCAAAACAAACACTCACAAACACCTCCAGAAAAAGCAAAGGAGTAAATGAAGGGTTTTCAGTATTCTAACACCGGACAACAAAATTATAAGCTTGAGTTGCCAGTACTTTTAGTTCTGGGTCCTTTTTGTAATTAAATCCTGTAAATGGATGCAATGCACCTTGTCACTTATGAAATAGGCTGTTCTGTAAATAGAAATTCCCTCCTGGGATTCTATGCTGTGTTCGATTCCCCACCTCCTGTAGCAAGTTATATATAGTCGTATTTAGAAACAAATATAAGACCGTAATGGCAAAAATGGAACAGGATAATGGGAAAGGGCTATGCATGCGTGCCTTTGAACTTTTCTTCTTTTGCTAAAGGAATCAGGCTAGAAACTGGGAGGCCGTGAGTTGTAGACCAGCCTTTGGAAGTCCTTGGGCTAATCCACCTCTCTCAGCCCCAGGAGGGAGGTAACGGCAATCCACTTCTGAAATCTTGCCAAGAAAACTGCAAGGAGCCTGTCCAGGCAGTTGCCAGGAGTCTACTAGAGTCAACTGACTTAAGGGCACAAAAACAAAAACATGCAAGCTGTATGTTGGATCATCTTTGCAGGTAATATTTAGCTGGCTAGTTGTCCTCTTTCTCACTAGCCGAGAGAAGGAAAGCTCTGCACATTACTGTGTACTTGTGACCTTAAACACAAACCATCGAAGTGACCCCTTCTTTTGCTATGTCAAATATGATGATGTGGAGGCTGTTTTCCCACCTCTCCTAAGTTTTGACAGTTGTCATAGTTCCGACAGATGAAATTCTTCAAAAGAACTTCGAGGCATTGTTTACCTTAAAGAATCTTTTATTCGAGAATCAAAGTATCAGCACTACCTAGTTGAAACCAGAAACTAAATTCCCCTCCCCTGGATACAAAGTAACAAAGTGCAATTCCCACCTCCAATAAACAGTCATAAATCACATTCCCCAATTAGCTTGAAGCGCGGGCTTTCTCCCCAGTTCTCCAGTCCGCCAAAGCACTATCAGGTCTGGGCCCAATGTCCTTGGGTTCCCACGGCTCAGTTATTATTGTTATGACTAGCTGGACTCTCATCCCTACTCCCCCTTCCAGCAGCAACTAATTCTAAAAGCAATAGAGAAAATGGCTGCATTTCCATCTGTTGTCAAAGCAAGAACATCCGATGTTAGCAGTGTGGACAACAGTATGATTGGTCAAAACAAGTTCTATTTGTGGGTTGTGATCTAAACACAAACCTTTGTATTTCTAGATTTAAATGTTCAAATGATTGCATTTTTTAGTTTATTTTTGCTTTTTGCAATAGAATCCCAAGGAGATCATATATCATATATAATAATGGGCTTATTATATTTATATTTTGATGTTTGGTCTGGCAAGTCTAGGTAAATCCATGCAGAGAGAGAATGATAGAGGTTGACATACTTGTACAACACATATATGCAGTGAATTTATTGTATTCAATGCATACATTTGTTGTACAAATATCTTCATGTTCCCACTAAAGCAAGAAAAGTTACACATAGTACAGTATGAAATTTTATTACAAAGTCTTCTGAAAATTAAGCATAACCATTTCAGTGAACATCTACAGTCTAATATTGGTGTCTGTTATCTTTCTAACTATTCAGTAGTTATTTGCAGTTTTGATTCCCAATGTTGAGGGGTTGTGGGGAAGAGGTTCTCAGTTAACTGGTCTCCTTCTTCCACATTGCTACTGCTGAAATGTGTTGTCCATTTGCTTCCCTCATTCTGAATTCAATAAAATATAAAATCATAAAATATATCCCCTTTATTTTTTGTTCTCTTACTGGAGGGCAGAAAATCAAAGAGGAACATGAAAGAGAAGGAATATCGGCATAGGAAGCTAAATGTGCTAAAGCACCAAGAGAAAATAAACTAGCTTTTGTTTAATGGCAGTGAGACAGAAACAGTAGGAGCAGAGCAAGTGTCTTGATCATGGATACACACTTCAGCCTTTTCTGATAGACAGAAAAGACTGGTGGCTTACAGTGGTTATAGTACTTGCCTGCAGCTTCATCCTGTAATTTGGGATCAGTTAAACACATATTCAAAACAATATGTTTACTTTAAGGCCTTCAATTATAAATGCTAACTGGCCCAAAAAGGTTAGCCTTCAAAGAATGAGAAATGAGGATGGGAGTGGGGAGGTGAGATGAACTAAATTTATCTTCTTGATTGCAGTTTTGAGAAATCTAATTAAGGACTTTTTGAAATATGTGCATTAATTTAGACAGAAGATAGAAAATATGCAGTCCTAAAATTGGTCTTCCGCTACAATTACACCTGTTGAACCCAGAATTCTAAATCCAGTTCTCAGAAACCAAATTATGCCCAAGATTAATGAGGTAAATAGGAAAACATTTATAATACATTTTGAGTTGCATTATTCATTCCAGACATATATGTTTCAGCTTCCATGTAACCCTCACCTCTTCATGAACTAATACCCATCTGTATTACAATATCTCATGAGATTACCAGAAATACTAGGCTTTGGGGTGTATGTCTCATTTATTTATGAATTATTGCATATATAGACTGTCACTATACATAATATGGCAGGTTGTTCCTGATATGCTTCTTCCCACCCCCATATTCCTATCCTGTAATACCAGCTGTTGTAATAACTATGTTCCCTGTGCATTTGTTCAATGTCATGTAATATTTTATGTGGTTGTTTTTACTATCAAGGTTGTTTATGTTGGGGAGGACCAAAAATATACTGAACAATTTACACATGTTCAAAATTGAGACCAGTATGATACAGGTTATTGTCTCTCTGAAGATGCTTAACTATTTATAGAGGGCATGTAACTACTTCTGATGTGTTTTACTTTCTAACTCCCAAGACTTTTTAATAAATTGATATTATTTTATGGATCAGCAAATCCAACTAGCTTTTACTGAGTCAGACTGACTGACTGAATAATACTATTTCCTATTTCCCAGCCTAAAACTTTGAAGGTAGGGAAGGCTGACTAAGAGAGGCTGTCTAGGCATTTTCCTAAATTCACTTGACACTTCCAAACTGAATCTGCATACAGCCATCAGAAAATGTGCTATACTACTTAGACACCATATTTATTAACTCCTAGAAAATAGCAACTAATTAACTGGAATAGAGGCAGCAAAAAGCTGAATGTGTTGATCGTACAGACTAAGAATATTTAGAGCAGTGGTCCCCAACCTTTACTGCTTGGCACCCTGGGGGGGAGGGGAACTGGCCTGTGCAAATAATGGGCTGGTGATGTGTGTGTGTGTGTGTGTGTGTGTGTGTGTGTGCATGAGCACCGGCCCATTGCTTGCACAACTTGACTGCACATGCGCACACACTAGCCATTTGTGTAACCTGAGCTGTGCACACGTGAGTGTGCCAATCCATTGCTCGCATAAGTTGAGCTGCACACACAAGCATGCAAGTTGAATTACGTGAATGTGCGTTGGCTCATCACTTATGCAAGTTGAACTGCACACATGCGTGCATGTGCATCGACCAGCCACTTTCGCGGCTAGTAGTGGGCCGGAGCCCGGGGGTTGGAGACCCTTGATTTAAAGTATAGGGTGAGGCTTGGAATAACTATTCTCACCTTGTTAGGCCACCAATGCTGTTCTGGTCTAAATTCTAGACTGAAATGTACTGAAATAGGTCCACCTATTGAGAATGAGTTGAGAGGTTTTCAGCATGCGAATGCTGAAAAATGGTGTTTCATACTTTGATTAAAACCTTAAGGGCATCCAGTTGCTGATGTAACTTCAGGAAATACAAAATCTAAAACTGGAATCTTATATCAAGAACCAGAACAAATGACACGGGA